GAATCAGTGCGGGACCTCACTCCCGCGCCTCACTCCATATACTGTAGTCGCACTCCCGCACTCGGGAGCAGGTCCCGCGTAAAAACCCACTCCCGAGGGACCATTTCTTCGCTGATTAATGCAAATGCACTACAACTGGGAGTAATTTCTGACTGCTTTTTAAGGGAAGCCACGCAAGCATTGGACGAATTGCTGACAACACCGGAAGGGGTGAAAAAAGTGCGACAAATGTTCAATCTTTGCGATACTTTCGACGGCACCGACACCTTAAACGTAAATTCTTTTATATTCAATTTGTCGATATCGATAGGCGGTGCCGTTCAGCACAATACGGGTATCGATGATATTTGTCGCACAATGAATGACTCGAGTGGTGGCACTCCGTTGCAAAGGTATGCCAAAGTCCACGGTTTTCCAGGTGGTGATGATTGCATTGATGTCAAGTTCACTGACCTGGTTAAGTCATATAATGATACTACTAAGGGATTCGTTGGGGGTATGTATTATATTATTATAGCATTTCGTAATTAAGTTATAAACTTAATTAAAATATATTTAACTAATAAATAGTCCAGTGTTCATTTAAATAAGTTTTATGTATTTTTAATAATTTATTTTGACAAACAGTAAAACAATGGACTTATCAGATGTGCACTGAATTCGGATTCTTCTGGACAACCGATTTGAAGGACTGTCTGTTTGGACACAACATTCCCCTCCACTTCTACATCCAAATATGTAACGACTTGTTTGGGCCGCAAATCACTGTCCAAACCATACAGAAAGCGGTGGACACCACTAACACCTACTACGGGGGCCGTCAGCCCAATGTGACAAATGTGGTCTTCCCTAACGGCTCACTGGATCCGTATCACGCCATGAGTGTACTCCACGACCTCAACAACAGCACCAAAGCGGTGGTCATCTCAGGTCACGCCCACGGAGATGACATGATCTACTCGGCCAATGAGACTCAGAGCTTAAGGGATGCCCACAATTTAATTACAAATGAATTGCAAGAATATCTGAAATAATTGTATTGTTTGATAGCATTATACATAATAAACATATTTATTACGAGTAACTCACGAGTTCTTCATATACGCTATCGATTAGTAAAATAAAACAAATTAAATTAAAAGTATTTTATTAAAAACATGTATTCAGTTTGAAGTGAAAGTATGCATTTATTATAAAACATTGAAAGCATTTATATGCAAATTAAATACAGATGTCATTTTATAACATGAATGTATGATTAAGAAATCATTTGAGTGATAAATATTTAAGTTTAGGAAAGTTTGAATCAATATTTTTCTTAAACGAGTACTCATTCACACAAATTGTTTACATCTTTCGCAATAATCTATAGAAAATTCAATTTTATACACAATCTCTAAATGCGTTAATCTTTTGCATTGGTTTAATGAATCGCATGTTAATACACTTGGAAAGTGCCCTTCAATTACCAAACGATTAATATGTTTAAAGTTTTCATTAATAGTATGATTTTCATATAAACTTCATTAAATGTCAAATGAAGTCTTTTTAGTTTTTTGTATTTCACACCAATTTGCTTGAAATGATTTGTAAAAATATCAACCTTTGTATCGTAAATTGCATCCAGGTAATTAACCTGTAAATCAATTAATTGTTTCATTTGTGACAAACCACTCATTACTGTATGCATTGAGTTCTCATCCCATAAGAAGTCGAATAAAATAAAAATTGATTTTATGTTTGAATATAAACTGAAAAACATCTCAACTGAAGGCACGTCTTCTTTCTTCACATATAACTCACATTTTGTAAGCTTTTTAAACAACACATCATTTGTTTGACACAAAACATGAAATATTTTAAACGAATCATCGGTTATATTATGATTGGAAATGTGTGTTATGTCTGTGACTTACAGCACATGTGTGTGATGTGCGAAGAGAAAGGGTTTTGAAAAAGGCATTGAATTGTGTGCTTTCGGTTGCATTAGTTGTGCCTATTTTTTGTAATTCATTTTGATTTAGTTTTACTTTTTAAATGAAACCATTTTAGTCTAATTGACTACAAATCAGAAGTGGGATCTGATTAACGCCTCAAAACGACGACGTCTTCACGAGCGGATCCACGACAAGGTAATCGCTTCCATAGCATGTCCTCTACAAAAGACTTGTGTCGGTTCCCCAAAAGACCTAAAACCGAAAAGACCTAAACTAAAATAACTTACTGACCAGTGGTCGTATTTTAAAATTTATGAGTGGAATAGATTTGTCATAACCTCACCTAACCTAAATTAAGTCAAATATGACAAAAAGTAAATTATGACAAATATTTGATAATTGTTTTATTAAAAACATACTTGTAATGTAATGTGTTTAATAACTATTTATATATCAGTTATACATAAGGTTGTCATTTTACGCGTA